ATGTGATCGGTTTTGCTCGAGAGAGGCCTTTTCCAAGACCCTACTCCCAACCCCTATAATATTAACGATTCTCACTTGGACGCAGCTCTCTTGGCACAACAAGATGCCTCTATAAGAATCATTTAAGCTCATGGACTGACTGAATTAAAAAAAACTGATAAAGCTCACCGAAAGCAGTGATAATGCTAACAACAGTCACGAATGTTCCACAAAGGTTGTTCCCGATGATGACAGCGTTTGTGAACTTGAATGGGAAATCGGAAGCGAGTCCAAATATGCTAAATAGAAACGTTCAGTAAAGCTGTGCATGGCTTATCCCCAAATGATTACAAACCTATTTTGGTAGATACCGTTGGCTCCATTCAGAAGCACGATTGACAACAACGTAATCGTGAAGAACGTGCCCATCCCTTAAAAAAATTAACGTATTTGAAAAATACAGCATCAAAAGTGTTACTTTCATCCAGCAGCAATGATTTTTTTGTTTTGAGGAACAAATGAAGGAATAAAAGTAGTCCATAGGAAAACAGATGAGGCTTTCCATGCTAACTCAGTTCAGGGGAAGGCGGAGGGGGCGTGGAAGGGGAACGCTTCAACTTGGCGAAGAGCAGGCGATTGTCGCGCGGCAAGGTCTCGCACAGCACAGACAGGCGCGCTGTCCAGTGGGTACGTGTCAAGACAATCGAAGTCGCCGCGCTGCTGGGCATCGCGTATGCGTAATGATGTTTCTAGGTCGCAGATGGGGGCCATAGACACTGTAAATCAAAAATAGCCACAAATGTCTACGATGTCATAGTTCACATGAAATACGGTGCTCTAGGCGACAGGCTAAGCAAATTAAGAAAACGCCGTGCCCGTCTTCGCGCGCGACGTAGCGGCAAATTACGAATGTCTTGACCGCCCCTTCCTCAACAATGTTAATACCGATTTTCTGGTATCAGATATTATAAAGAAGTTAGGAACAACGTACAACTCCATGTGTCCACGTAGACGAAACACATAGTGAATACGATCATTGCACCAACGATGAGCAGCGACAAAGAAATTCGTTTTGTTAAGTCACCTCTGAAAAATTTGAAAAATTACATGCGTCAAAGCTGCAAAAATAAATGAAGCTGAGGAAGCAGAGAAGTTCTCCACTTTTGAAGAGCCCAGCTCTCCAGCATATCACAGTTGTTCGGCAATGACCCGTGGTACAGAAAATTCTGATCAAAAATCAGATGAAAATTATGGGACAACCTAATGTGATCAGAGCTGGAGCTCTCTTTTCCTTTCATCTCCTCTATACAGACAGTTTCCATTCGGAGTTCTGCCCCCCCCCCCCTCCACAGGAGCGACCATGAGAT